ATGACTTGCTTTTGCCAATGGGATGTTAGCAGATGTGATGTTGCAGAAGTTTGAAAGGTACTTACCGTTTGGCTTGCCACCTACAACTTCTGCCATCACTATGAGAAATGCCAGGCAACTCACTGATCCAATAGGAATGAGAAACAGGAGTTCAGATTGAACCCACCCTGAAGTGTGGAGCCAAGCACAGGCAAGCACAGCTTAGATCAACTAACCCCCAAGTGACCCATAGAAAATGGGCAAGAATAAATTATGTTTCTTTTCTTTTTTTTTTTGAGACAGAGTCTCACTCTGTTGCCTGGGCTAGAGTGCCGTGGCGTCAGCCTAGCTCATAGCAACCTCAAACTCCTGGGCTCAAGCCATCCTCCTGCCTCAGCCTCTCGAGTAGCTGGGACTACAGGAATGCGCCACCATACCCAGCTAATTTTTTCTCTATATATATTTTTTAGTTGGCCAATTAATTTCTTTCTATTTTTTAGTAGATATGTGGTCTCGCTCTTGTTCAGGCTGGTTTTGAACTTCTGATCTAGAGCAATCCGCCCGCCTTAGCTCCCAGAGTGCTAACATTACAGCCAAATTATGGTTGTTTTTAAGTCACTGAACTTTGGAGTGGTTTTGTTACGTAGCACTACTGCGGCAACAGTTGACTGGTACACTCAATCCTGGAACTTTGAATCTGTAGCCCTTGCTGCAAAGGAACAGAGATGGTATGGAATTAATTTCATCCACAGTGATAACCACAGTGAATGTAGCATTCAGGGACAAGTGGTGGAGTGCCAGTGATGAGGTATAATATTCAGCAGTGGCATTAACTTGGTTGAGGTTTCAGTTACCCAGCTTCCCTATGTTCTCTGATTTCCTTCCCTGATTTGCTGGCCTTCTGGGTTACTTTATGAGATAACTGATATCCTTCTAGTAAATTTATTTTCTGCTTAATTTGGCCTGGGTCAGCATCTGTTATTTGCAAATAATAGCCCTGTCTGAATCAGCCTTTACGTTTCATTGGAAGTAGAGGATTGGGAAGAGCAGAGAGCGAAAGTGGCCAATAGTGGAAAAGGCGGGGACATTTGTCCATGGATCTACAGTCCTGGTGACAGAGTGTAGAGGAGAATTTCTCTATAGTGTAAGCAGGATTTCCTTTTTATGCCTTTGAGAGCTTTCACCATTTCCTATTTCCACACAGAATATGTGAGTAATGGGGTAGTTGAGTCGGCTGATTCAAAAGGAGTGATCAAAGTTTTTTAACCAGTAAACCATGTTCCATCAAGAATCTGCAAACTAATAAATTGTACCTTACTGACACTTCTATTTTTTATCTAGTTGTTGATATTTAGTCTCTCTTCTAATATGCTAAGAACTCCTGGTAAGGAAAGGTGGAATAAATCATTAAGTGAGGAAAAAAGTTTCAATCAATAGACTTAAATCCTATATCATACGCTTCTTAAACATGCCATTCATTACCTTGATTTTAGTAACTAACAGAACTATACAGAAAATGTTTTTAAATGTCCAAAGCCATACTTAACTACTACAAAATCATTCATGCACAGATTTTCTTACTAAGAATTGTCAAGATAAGTATAAACATTTTTTTACTACTTGTTTTTTGTCTGGCTCTTGAATGTGCTTCAGTTTTTCATGAGCCTCAAAGTGTACATAATTGAATGGTGTAATAAATGCCAGATTCTCTAGTATTTTATAAGGTACATAAAGTGAATGTTTGCCATTATTGCACTAAACCAGAAAATCAGAGAAATTTATATAGTCAACATCTTTGTGCCATGTAATCCCAGAATCATTTCATTTAAGATAGATTAGAATTGAGTTTCATCACTCAAAAAATAAACTAATTTACTTGGCATTAATTGTATATTTAACACAAGGCATTTATTTCTGGAAATTGAGTCACACTCACGCTTGTATATGTAGGACTTTCATTGACTAGTGTATACATTTTAAGTTTATTATCTTTTGCCTTTACACAAAACCCTTGGCAGACTATTCTTAATGCATGTATTTTGGAGATAACAGTCTGTTTCTTGTCAGTTCTAAATTTAAATGATTTGCTTTTCTTGATGGTTGAAAATGCTTGAAGTCAGGGCACTGGGGATAAATTCAGTCCATTTGTGCTTCTTCAAAGAATTACGAATTTACATGATAGATGAAAGTTTACAAAATACTGTGTACATTCTGGATTTCCAAAGGCAAATAAGAACTGACCACCCTTAAATACTTTTAATTCATAGGAAACATCTAGTTTGAGAAAGTGAGTGTGGGAGAAAGACAAGGGAAATAGAGCAATAGATTCAGACAGAAAATGACAGAGACCTTTCATATTCTCACGGGAATGAAACAAAGAGGAAAAAAAATCAATGAACCAAGTTGCAATGAATCTGATGGTCTGAAAATATCAAGCATGAATTTAAAAAAGTATGTTATGAAATTCAAATGTACATACTTGCCATTTATTTTATCCTCTTTTTTACTATAAAAAAACACAGATTAAAAAAACAAAAGGAAAGAAAAATCGGTTATTCCCATCTCTTGGAGAAAAATAATTATTAATGTGTTGGTATACATTTTGATGGTTCTTTTCTTATAAATGTGTGTGCATTACATATACATGTACAGGATTTTTTCCACTAAGAGATCATATTCCATAAAGTACTTTGTAATGTGATTTTATCACTAAATACATTATGTATATCCTTTCATGTTGAAAATGTACTTCCATATGCCTTTAATGGCTGTGTAAATATTTCATTTTTAGAATAAAAAATTAATAAATGCTAGCAAAAATTTCTATACATTGATCCCCCGCAACTTCCATTATGGCAATGGAACTATAGTTTTACTGCACCCTGAATGAGGGAAAAGAGCAAGCAGTGGATGTAATAGATGGCCACAGGCCATTCAGGCTGCTGCACCCAGAGGTGCTTTAGTCTGAATGCTCTATGGCATGCCCACAGCCTCAGCTCACCTTTCAAGCTCCTGTGTCTATTACTCTAGTGCTTCCCAGATAACCTAGTTTCTTTTGCTCAGCCTGGGGACCATCAGTTTCCACACTGAAAGCTCTCAAAATACAGTTGCTCTTCTCCATTTTGTTCAGTGTCCTGGGATATTTAATAGAACTGGATTCAAATAAGGTACTTCAGCAGCTAGTCCCCTCACCTAATGTATATGTAGGTACTTTATCCAAAGACTCATGATAGAGGGAGAGAATTATTTAAAATGTATCATGCCCTACTCTACTAAAGATTAATAAAACATGAATGCAAAGCTTTCAAAAGGTATAATTTTAGGTTACAAGTAGGGTGGAGTGGAAAGATATTTCAAAGTGAAGCTGAAATAGAGGTAAGCAGTCAACTTTTTTGCCTACATTTACTTATCCTGAACAAAAGATCTGTACATGCAGATCTAAGTAGAAACTTAGGATATCCACTGAACATAAATACATGTGTGATATAAATTAATCTTAAGAGGACACTGATGTGATTTGTGCCATGCTATCCTTTTAAATATATTATTTCCAGAGTTGAACTAATATAAGTGTCCAATAACAGGATGTAGGTTAAATAAATTATATTGTGTTCTACAGGGGAATACTCTCCAATTATTTTTAAATAATATAGCAGCTAAAATCTCTAATTTGTGAAAAGATGTTCATAATATATTGTTAAATGAGAGGAAAAGGGAGGGCAACACATTAGCATGTACTATTTTATCCCATTTTGTAAAAATAAATTATGCTTAATATACACATGGGTATGTTTACATGACTCATTATTGGTGATTATTTTGGACTGGTAGGATTACAGGAAACCTTTATTTTTTTCTTTTTGTATATTTGCATTTTCTGAATTTCCTACAATTTATAATTTTAGTTTTGTGAAGAAAAAATTTGAACTATTTTTAGGAATGAGACTAATGGTACCATGGAAGTTTGTCCTCCATGTGATTCTGAAGGGGATTATTGCACCATCTCTCAAGCACAGGGCTTGTAATTCAGAGGAAAATAGGAAGCATCTCTTGCTTAGTGACTCATACTATGCTAGGTGATCATAGTCAAGGGGCAGCAATGTGAGTGTGCTGCTTTGGATCACAAGTAAAAACACATGGAAGGCAGAGAGTAGGGGGAAATACGTAATTAAAGGCATGATTACAATAATCGAAGTAATTTTCTATTTTTTTCTCCTTGTCTTCTTTCAAGTTGATGTGGATATTTTCCTTTGCATAGTGTAGACAATTGGTGAGTTCATTTTGCTGATATTCACAGATAAATAAGGATAATCTAAGAATTACATAAAGAAAGCAGTAACAAGTACGTGTTCCAAGCATGTTTTCTACTGAAGTACCCACTGTCATAATCAAAGAATGTCTCCTGTAACTCTTCAAAAAGACCAAAATGAACCTTCACACAATTTCTAGGAAGGTAAATTCCTGGGTTCATTTCACAAATGTAGAACTTCTAGTCGAAATGGGATTTCCAAGAACATGCCTGGATAAAAACAAGCGAATCTTCATTTTCTAAAAGCACTTTGTCCATGTTTAAGTAACTGCTGAGACATAAAGGTGGGGACTGTGAAGAACAACTTGTACTGTAAATACAGGACAGTCATTGGTTTTCAGAATTGAAAAGGAATTTGGAAAGGTTCTAACTCAAACCCAAGGAAGATGAGGTGACTTGTCCCTAAGTTCTGCATCTATCATGTGGCTTGCGGCTCCCTCTTACCACTTTCCCATCATTTAAATGGAAAAGGAGAATTGCATTGAGTTTCTTAGGCTGAAGTTCTATTCCTCTTATTTTCTCATAATGTCTTTTGGCATTTGTGCCACAACTGCAACTATATATACTTTGGTGAAAGGAAGAAGTGGGAGTAGGAAATGCAACATGAGCTTTGACTAGATTATGTGGACAAGAATACTAAATAGATGTACTCAGTGAGTACTCAGATATCTGTCACCTTTAAAAGAGTTAAATATAAGTGAGAGCTTATTTCAGTTTTAAAGCTCAACATGTTTATTTTCTGAGAGCCAATTTCTCTAGATTTCCATGACTAATTAAAAGATGACAAATTTGGATGGAGCAGAATAGGTCCCTATGGATTAGATTAGGGAGTGTCATTATGCTTAAGTAGAAAGAAAACTTCTGTAGAACTAGTGATACATGACTCAGGTAATTGTCAGGTTCTGTAAAGTCTGTTGCTCACACATACCCGCATCAGCTCACCAGCATCTTCCAATGACCACTTACTTCCGTATAATTCCACTGGGTGTGATACCCAGAGTGTCCACGATCATCTATCATTTTGTTGGACTTCTTCACAGCCTCTCTGTTTCCTGGCTGAGTTATTTATGTAATATTATTCCACATGGGAAAGCCCAGCTGTTGAAGTTTTAGAATCAGGAAGGACACATTTTTATTAGATCTTTCATCTTGTCTACAGTGTGTTATTCTTGGTTTAAATAATGATAATAGCATGCCAGCTCCTCTGCTATAACTCACTCCCCTCGACGTGCTTTTGGAGGGGAAAATGGCCTTTCTTACTTCTGGGGTTCCAGAAGGGGGCTTATATCAAACTAAATATGAAATCAGTGTGTGGGATCGTATAATCACCTGTTGAGTTTGAACTCCTCCACCTGGGGTGGGCACTGCAGAGGTAAAAACCATGGAAATAAGTTATAGGGGTAGCAAGAGGAGGATATGAGAAAGAAAAAAGGAGTTTAGAGGATTAGAAAGTTTTGAGCACAGAAGGAAAGCAGTACTATTTAAAAAAATAGAAAAATCCAGATGGAGAAACAGGTTTACAAGGGAAGATGAATTGTTTCAGATATATTAAGTTTTGAGTTGCTGGGAAGAGATCCAGGTTGAAGGGTCTTAGAGGGCATGATGACTTTGTAACGTGTCAACTTGGTCAGGCTGAACCACATTTCCTAGAATTGACCTTGTAAAGTTCTGGTTAGTGTAGAACACAGCAGAGAGTCTTGGGTGAAATTTGTTCCGCAGAGATGAAGTGGCAGTCACTTTGTAGCTCTTCATGATTTAACAGATCTGTGGACTAACATTTTTGGTATGAAGCAGCAGGTGGACCCACAACTATTTTCCCCTCCCCTTCCCTCCTTCTTCAGCCCAGTCTCCTGGGCCGGATGGATTTGACTTCAAGATGAAGGGCACTGGCTTCTTTCTGCAGGGCATCCACAGCACCAAGAACAGATCGACATAAGCTGACACAGCCTCTACCTTTCCCTTCCCAATTACCTGCCCTGGAGATTTCAGGTCCCACATTAGACACAAGGACAGCCGTACAGAGGCTACTATACCAGATCCTACAATTGTGTAAGATCACATACTTTGGATGGGTTGGCCATCTTTTCTACGGTCCGAAGCCCTGCATGATTTATTTGGCTTTTTATTTCAATGTACACCATCTTTGCCTCATTCAGTACTAGAAACATTAACTAGCATTCTTGATGCTAGTTTTCTATCAATTTCTTTACCCCTTCAAGTCCCAAGCTCTTTCCTGTCTCTGGGTCTTTGAATACCAGGTTCCTTCTGCTTCTTTACTCATGTTCTTTATTTGCAGTAGGTCTTAGCCTAACTATCAACTTTGTGGACTGGCCTTCTCTGACCACACCACTCAAATCCTTCAGGCTTTTCTTCAGGGTCCTTACTAGAAGTTGTGTATGCTTACCTAATTATTTTGGTTAGTTGTTTTTCACTAGAATCTAGGTTCCATGATACATGATAATAAGAGCAACCCTGACCCAGCACTGACTGTCTGGCACACAGATAACCCTCCAGGGATTCATCTAGAGATGAAATGGGAGATAAGGTGGCCTATACCTTTTGGACTGGGACTCGCAGAGGGATTAATTTTCCACTCTTTGGCGGGGAGGTGGGGGGGGCTCTTAAAGATTCTTCCTGAGTTCTACCCCTATTTCTGTTCTTTATGGCAGGTCTCAATAGTTTTCTTTTAAACTTCTGTTAACAGATTGAATTAAGACTTCTGTCAAGATGCTTGTGATGTAAATACTTTTTTAAAAAGCAAAGAGTAAACTACTTCTATTAAATAAAATCAAAAGAAAAATACTATCTTCTGCCTTTTCGCAGCCCTAATGTTGTACAGTATTTTCAATATCTGTGTAACTTAATTTCCAAAGTCAAATCTTTTGGTGTTATCTTGAGCCTGCAGATCACATTTAATACTTAGTTTACTGCAAAGATTTTCTTTGATGCTTTCTTGAAATCCCTCATGCCTTAAATGTTTTCTTTTTAAACAGTTCAATATCTTTGCACATTACTTTTCCAGCATTTAGCCTACACATAGTAACCAAAAAAAAAAAAAAAAAAATTTGAAGTGTCTAGTGAATTATAGCTTTTGGCACTTTGGGAACAAACCACAGGCCTCTACACATTTGCTCTCAGGCTACTTCCCTTGTCAAAGTTCAAATGGTAGTGTTCAAGTATTATGAGTTCTTGAGTGTTCTTATCCTCCACAAAGTGTGTGAAGTAACTTACTCTTATTTCAATATTTATGTTTTTCTCTCTTTACTGCCTCACATGAATCTGTTCACGGTTAAGGAAATTATTGTAAACCATCTGAATTAAAAACAGATTTTGCTCTTCTGGACATATTAAATTCAATGATCTTAAGCAAACACATTTTGAATTTTGACTTGTTAGAAATCAGAAATCTAGTGATTTTCCCATAAAATCTTATATTAATTGGTAGTAAAATGAAGCACTGAGGAAGGTTTACAACATACAGTGAAGGAAACTAAGATACTGTCTATATCTTAAATATTTTTTTTTGAGCTCTAAAACTAAAAATTTAGTTGTTGCAATTCATTTGGTTAGGTAAATTCTTTCTAGTAACAAGTCTGACAAAGATTTGTCCTTGTTAATTCAGTTCTGGGAAGTTAACAGCAGGAAGCCCATGTTCCTTAAAGCAAGGCACAAGTTTTCCTATTTCTCAATAAATAGTATAAATTGGCTGAATAGTCTGTCTCTGATGGACACTGCTCACAGATTTTGGACAGAAAATGATAGCTACTTGCCAGAATGTTTGGGCAACTGAAGGGTCTCAGTTGAGGACAAAGCTGAAAACAACTGTTAGTAATTAATAATTGTCACTTTCATTCAGAATCAGATTTTGATCATCTCTGGTGGAATTAAAGACTTCAGATCCCAAGCAAACCACCAGAGACATTTAGGCTATTGAAAGCTTACTTGAAGAAATAGCAATATAATATATTGAACAGCTTTAAGATACAATACCCCAAAACTAATCTTGACCAGCCATGAATTAAAATGCAGGTAAAATATAAAATTTCTCTATTCCTATCTTGCTAAAAAGGTGGCTATTTTTAATGCTCTACAAACTGCTTTCATTCATCTGACAATAAGACAACACTAGGAGGCTTGAGAGTTCACTTTGATTTTTATTACATACTAGACATATGAGCTAACCAGAAATTAGGATGATTGTAATCTTAGAATCACAGGAAATATATTTCCACCTCCCCTTTTTTCCTGATATTGGAGTACTATTTCAGATTATTACTTTGGGATTAGTTGAGGGCAAAGTAAAAGAAACCATGGAAGGCAGTATATAAATAATTATGAAACCATTTTTCGGAAGCTAGTAGCGATTTTCTTATTCAGAATAAGATATTCACAATGCTGGCATTAGGTACAATTTTGAACATCTACTGTTAATTGACCAAAGAAAGCATCGAGTGGCCCCCAAGAATCTTTCATTTTTGTTTTTAGCTTCCTATCATACAGTAACTTGTCAAAGGCTTTGAAAATAAAGTCCTTATTGGAAATTTATATTTTGCACCCAGGAAATGTAGGCAAAGCACCTACCTCTGCTTCTTGTGCAGGTTGTGTGCTCTAACAATCATGGCTGCTTTTGGCATCAATGGAGTACAAGCTATTAAGAGTTCCTAAAAATACTAACTTGACCAGTCAGTTGCCTCTACCTTACATACTATTCAGGCGAGTTTCTGGACAGTATACTATTATATCCCTGGTCCAAAATAGGGTGGGCATGTATATATTCAACCTTGTTTGTACATACACCAGGGAGGAATTTGTTTTTTCCTTAAGTAGTTTTGTGTTAGGCAGTAGGGAAAACATTTTCAACTTCAATTTTGAGGTAGGTTATAGAATGAGAAAAATACAAGACTGTCTAGGAACTAATCTCTATTCACCTTTCTAGGTTTTTGTGTTGATACTTCCCAAGTGGCACAAGCTAGGCATTTATAGTCCTTAACATATCACTGTGCTTTTGCACAGTATTCTCAAGTTCAGCTTAAACATTGCTCCTCTAGAAGAAGGAAGTTCATATCTTTACTGAATTGTCACATTCATTGTTTTCTTCTAGAATCCTGGGATTATCTCAAAAATAAATGCTATCACATTTTGCTATCACACATACTTTGTATACATAACTTTCTCACCTACTACATTATAAACTACTACAGGGAAGAAACTGCCTATCTTCAATGATAACATAATGTATGCTTATGTTTCTTGAAAGAATGGTGAAAGGAATACATTCTATGTACAAGTGCCAATTTTTTTTTCACAAAATTAGGCAGAGTTCTGTTCACTTTTGACTTTTTAAACTTGGAAAAGCTAGTTCATTCAAACCTCTCTTCTGTCCCAAGATAAAACTAGACTGGTCATCTTACTTGGTAGATGAAGGAGTCTATTTCAAATTACACATTGCTGTTATCCCCAGTATGTAAGAGCATTCAAGATAGTGCCTGGGTCAAAGAACAAGGCATTAATAAGACACTGGACTTGAACAACTTTTTTAAGCCACAGAGGAATTCAACAGCCTTTGTGGTCTTTTCATTGACCATCTGTTAAGACTACCTGGAAAGAAGATGTAGCTGAAGTCAATCGGGAACTCACTATCAGCACTAAAAAAATTCCAGGAGAGCTGGAACCAAAAGATTCCGAAGCCAGAAAGGAGGCTAGGGAGAGCAAATGATCACAGCAGGCTGAGGACGTCAGCGTCCATCATCGCACCCAGCCCGCAATAAGTCTATGTGACAGAGGCAGTTCATCCAATGCTTAAGTTGATCTTTAATCCTCTTTAGCATCTTACCACCCCACCAAGACACCACAAGAGAAATACTTGAATATTCTGTGGGCTTAAAACCACCTACACTGTCCTTTGGGTTAGAGAACAGGATTCAGTGGTACTCCTTGAAAAAAATACATTAAAGAAAATGCTAATTGCTTTTCTTTGCAGGATCCTGTGTTTTTCTTCCATCTCCCAAAGAGCTTGTGTTTTAAAAGGTCAGAACAGTTGGGGTTAGAAATAAGCTGCCTCCCACTCAGTTCAGCATCTATACACAGAAAAAAGCTTTATGCTACCACAAATTTTCCAAAAAAATTATTCCTTCCTCTACTTGCCACCTATCTCTTCCAAAATGCCAAATTAACAAAAATCTCTTACAACTGATTATCTAGAATATTCTTGCCCTTTTCGTATCTGTATTGTGTTAGCAAATAAAAAGATTAGTTGACACAGCTTTTAGAAAATCCAGTTGGCAGCAGAGCTGGACAACAGATGGCCACCTAGAAATCAGACCCAGAAAGGTGACTTACTCAGCATGGATATGCTGACAAAAGTCTGATATCTGGAATACATTGAAAATCCTTGACCTAATGTAAAGCCCAAGAGGCAGTTCAGAGTAGTAACAATTATCATAAACTGATTCCCTGTCTAAAGCAAAACCTACCACTTTTAACCAGCCAAAGACATGCCAAAATATAAAATAAATACACTGACAGCCTGTAATAGCTCTTTTGCAGAAAACGAACAACTCTCCCCCAAAACCAAAGAAGAAACACATAATAGAGTTTACTTAGATATTTCCTAGAATTCATTCTAAGTAGTTTAAAGCAGTCTTTAAAAACTGGTGGTTTTTTAATTCCATACTTTGTTTCTATAGGTAATATTTAGCTAAGATTTAAGCATCTCTTAGCTTTGAAATTTTAACTGAATTTCAGTTGAACCTTAAGAAATGTTAACCATAAACTTATAATAATTGCCCTATGGTAAAATTTATAAGTCATATTCCCAATATTCCTCTTACCTAGTCTAAAAGTTGCTGGAGGTCTCTCTTCACTATCAAAGCTCAAAGACACTTATGCCATAGCATGTGAATAAGTAGATATGAAAACTGTTTATCATCTACAAAGTTACACAAGATATTCCAGTTCAAGTTAACAGAAAAAAACATACACTAGATTTAAAGTGCTGTATTAAAAAAAACAAAACAAAAAAACCACAACAAACCCAAAATACATTTCATTTGGGGGCAATTAAAATATATGTTTCAGTTTTTGACGACCTGACACTTTTAACACTTCTAGGATTATCATTCTATAATTATTCTCCTTTACTCTTCTAATTCTGAGAATGTTCTCTTTTTCACGGAACACCAGCTAACTGGTAAAACTTATACTTGTGACATTCACCTACACTTGACCAGAGGGATCAGAGGCTACTATGCCAGTGGGTAGTCTTTATCCTCTTATTTTAAATATGAACATTTCCCAATACCAATTATAAGTCACACCTCATTTATCTTCTTAAAAATTGCATGGGCTTATTTTAAATATTTTAAACACCTGTAATAAACTACAGAGTTTGCTAAGAGTAGAGGTACTCTGGTTAATGATCAAAATGGTGTCCCCAAAGGAAAAAGCAAGCATTATGAAATATGAAAGCAATCTTTACCAACACAAATTGAATCATTGTTTTCTCAATAAAAACATTAGTACAAAAAAGTTCTCATTCTATAAAGATTTATCATTTCTAAATCATAGTGAAAGGAACTTGAGCAATTTGCTATTTTCTTTTATACTATGTGTCTTAGAGATACCTCACGAAAAATTGGTGTCTGACACAAAGAATGACATTTGCAGAATGTAATATTGTCATGACAGTACTGAGGTTGATTGTTACAGACTATTAACTTCTCTGAGTATTAAATGGTTACATCTTAATTATTTATATAGAACATTGGTCCAATAACACAAAAATAGAGAACAGCATCTGGAAATTTATCTCATTCCATGTTTGGAGATAAAGGGTTAACTGTTCTTTCCATTATTTTTTGCAGATAAGTCCTTGTTCACATTGAAATCTGATGGCAATTAAATTCTGGCATTTTTCCAAGCTACTGCATGAAGAGGATGCTGAAGGCCATTACTATACAGCATACTGCAACATAAGGACTTTTCCGTTCACCTGTTGAAAAAAAGGAGATATTTATCTTGAATGAGTGTTTAAGTGATAAGGTTACTACAATGGGGAAAGTGAGAAATAAGAATCAAGATAAAGTTCATGCTTATAAGTCCTACACATCTGGGGTGGGGAGGGAAAACAAGGAATTAGATGCAACATAAAAGTACAATACAGAATCCAGTGGTTCCCAACCTTTTCAGCACCAGGGTAGGGAGTGGCTGTAAATACAGAAGCAGCTTCCCTTGCTCACTCATTTCCTAAGTTTATGGAAGACAATTTTTCTAAGGCTGGGGGTGGGGAGGGTGGTTGCAGCACCAGAGTTTTGCTGCCCTGTCTGTGGCCCAGGGGTTGGGGACTGCAGAGCTAAACTATACCAATTTATTTCTAAGACCACCTCATTTTCATATATTTAGAAAACTCTGAAAGTGCCATTCCTGTGACACTGCATAAACCCAGACATTAAAAAATACAATGCAGAATGTAGGGCAGATACAAGAGAAGTGATCTCAAACAACTCAGTTGAGGCCAAAGAAATATTGTTTTATTTCCTTTAAAAAGAAAAAGATTTCCATCTATAAAAAGAAATCCAATATACAATTGTTAGCCAGTTTTTTCCTCCTCAATATTAATTCATGACACTTAAAGGGAAAGGGGAGCGGGGGACATTCATGGATGAAAATAGAGTATGGTTAATAAAGCTGCATTTAAAAAATGGACATAAAATAAAATACTTAATAAAAAACATTAGAAAAAACTATTTCTGAGATAGATTTTTTGTATCAAGTCCTTCATAGTATGATTACTCTAGGTTAGAGATGTAGAACTAAAAACAATCATTGCTTTTATGAGTCAATTTTTCACATGTGCTTAAGGAATACTTATATTTGGAGACTTTCCTTTGCATGAAGTAGCTCTGAAGTTGGCTTGTGAAATTATCTTGCAAATAGATAGAGATCCTGTGACTGTGAGTTAACTCAAACTCATCTTGTTCTTTCCTGTTTCTTCAGTAATTGCAAGGCTGTATTAATGCACAGGGTACCAGGCGTTTTACACGCTGCCTTAAGGGCAGCTTAAGAAGAAAGAAACTACTTCTAGAAATAATCTTGGTACACACCTGGTACCCTTTAGCAGACATTTTATACTCCCTTCACGTGTGTTTTTCTATGATGCTTAAAATCAACTCCTTCCCAGTAATTAAATTCCTTATTTCACTTAGCAAGCTTAGTTAACTACCTACAGAAAACATTAATCTTGACCAACCTCATTAACTAAAATTCTCTAGGTTGTTTTCACTTTTAGACCTTCCTCACAGAGCTCACAGAGCCTTATTTTATAAGTTTACATATTTGTGTCTGCTCAATGACAATTTCCATAGAAAACATCATACACATACACAAAAACCAAACATTTGGTGTCTTCTGAAAGTGTTTTTTCTATCCATAGACATTTAATGAACTGCCTTCCAGCTCAAGGAAAGTCTAGAAAGTGAGACAAAGTGTTTTTACAACACTACAACCTCAACTGAAAAAAATCTTTTAAAATTAAAAAATATCTTGGGTCACAATTTTAAACAATGCTAATTCTTTTGGGGTAAAAAACCCAAGTCATCCAACAAAACAAAACAACCCCATTTGTACACAACTTTCAGGAAGGTTTCATAAGCAAGCTTGTCACTCTTATTCGGGCTAGATACTCTCATTGTCTAATATAGTCTTATTAAATATCTAAAGAAGAAATTAATACCTTCCTAAGTTTTACATATGGTAGAAATTAGTTTTTGAGGAAGTTCTTCCCTTTTTCAACCTCCGATTTAGAATGTTGTAATTTACATATGGGTTTCATTTTCCTGTTTTTAATTTTCTTAAAAGAAACTGCCATGTGGTAGAGCCAAACATCTTTGGTTGAACTTGGGTAAGAATGTTACTTCTTGTCTGGTCTTAGGTCTGTATAAGTGAATGTAAACCAGTTGCTGTAATGTGATGTGTAACATGATAAGATGATTTGGCTGGGTCTTTTCCCATTAAAATTGCATCCTTTCTTTGTGAATATATTCTGTGTCAAGATAAGACCATGTGCTTGAGAAAGCAGCATATCAGAATCAACATTTTCTAAGCCACTACGCCAAAATGAAAAGCTAATGCTTTCACATAATTGGCAAGAATGAACACTTTAACTGAATGATTCAACCTATGGCATTTGTATGGTCAAGAGAGGAAAATGGAACTAAATGAACAAGGAAAAAAGAAAAGGCACTATTTATAATTACACATAAAAATAGATTAAACACAGGAAATCATTAAGAAAACTACAAACTAGATATCTTAAACTTTTAACTATACTGTCTTCAAGTAAAAATTGTGAACAAAGGGGTCACTTGAGTTGGCTACCGAATGGAGCTGTACATATTTCTCCAATTTATTACATAAAACAGATTTAAAATACCTAAAAATTTTCTTTATGCATTAGCACCTTACTGATAATCCTGAGATGAAAACTCACCCTCATAACTCCAGACTTGCTTTTCTACTATGTTCTCTCTTTGCATATCATTCGAGGTATTCTTACCACTCTGTTCCTTGGCAATATTTTAAAATTTCTTTTTCAGGGTGACTTGTCTCTGAAGCATATGGTTTGTTTTATGTATGTATATTTACATTTACCATTAGCTATGAGTATTAGCCATCAAGGGTGCTATTTTGTCTCTTTATCTTTCTTTCCTTGGGTCTTTTTGAAGTACGTAAGATTTCTTCTGTTATTTTAGGGTTTGCAGCTGTTGTGCATGACTGAGTGCCAGATAAATCTGTACCACAAATCTCTGTAAATCTAGGACAGGCCTTCTCCACTCCACTGCTGTTGATGTTTTGAGCTGGATAATAACTGCTGTGAGGGGCTACCCTGTGCATCTCAGGATGTTTAGCAACATCCCTGACCTATACTCAGTACATGTCCTCCAGTCCATTTGTGACAAACTATGTTGTCAAATGTTCCTTGACTGACAACTACTTATCTAGATTATATTTGTGCTTTTACCAATTTAAAGTCAATGATATTTTTTACAAAAGAAAGATTTCCATGTCTATCACCATAAAAGAGAATAAAGCATGACAAGAACACTGAGGAAAAACAGTTTAATAAGTTAAAAGCACGTTGATTTCTCTGGAAGATAGTCTGTCTCAATAGTCTCTATATCAGAATGAGGGCCTTGAAAGTGGTACTTTTCTGTGAAGCCCTTTATGCGTACACTATCATTTTCTACAGCACGCAACCTTGAAAGGCCAAAGAGTCTTATGATCTCATCATCACAGATTTAGAAAGGGCTTCTGGATAATTTAGTATTATGCTTGCAACATCCCCCATTAATGAGTCTGGCCTATCATTAAAAGCTCAAGGGAAGAAAGCCTACTCTCAAAATTATTTCAATGGCAAATAAATACAAATCTGAGAAGATACGTTAAAGATTTGAAGACTAGTTTATGTTATGCCTATCTTCAGATATATTACATCAATTCCCACATCTTCTTTAGAAAAATCTCTAAGTATCGGCATACTTAATTTTAGTGCATTTTGTAGATTTGCATTTTTTAAAAAACAAATTGAGGATTTATGGCACCCTGTGTTGAGCAAGTCCATCAGTATTTTTCCAACATCATGTGCTTACTTCATGTCTACATTTTGATAATTCTCACACTACTTCACACTTTTCCCATATTATTATATCTGTTATGGTGATCTGTGATCAGTGATCTGTGATAGTGCTATCGTATTTGTTTTGGGGTGCCATGAACCATGCCCATGTGAGACAGCAAACTTAACTGATAAATGTGTGTGTTCTGACTGCTCCACTGAATGGCAATCCTCCATCTCTTGGCCTTCCTAATACCTGGCACATAACAATACTGAAATCAGGACAAGTAATAATCCTACAATGACCTCTACGATTCAAGTTAAAGGAAGAGTTGCGCATCTCTTACTTTAAATCAAAAGCTAGAAATGATTAAGCTTAGAGAGGAAGGCATGTTGAAAGCCAAGACAGGCCTAAAACTAGGCCTCCTTTGCTAAATAGCAAAGTTGTGAACACAAAGGAAAAGTTCCTGAAAGAAATTAAAAGCAAATATAAAAATGGTAAGAAAGTGAAACAGCCTTATGGAGATAGTTTTAGTGGTCTGGAAATTAAAAGCGAATACATAAATAGTAAGAAAGTGAGACAGCCTTACGGAGAAAGTTTTAGTGGTCTGGATAGAAGATCAAACCAGCCATGACATTCCTTTAAGTTTGAAGTTGCCAAAGGTTGGTTCATGAGGTTTAGGAAAGAAGCCACCTCCATAACATAAAAATGCAAGGTAAATCAGCAAGTGCTGATGGAGAAACTGCAGCATATTATCCAGAAGTTCTAACTAAGATCATTATTTAGGTGGCTACCCTAAACAATAGATTTTCAATGTAGACAAAATAGGCTTTCAATGTAGACAATGTAGGCTTTCTATTGGAAGAAGATACCATCTAGGACTTTCACAGCTAGAGAGAAGTCAATGCCTGGCTTTAAAGCTTCAAAGGACAGGCTTTCTCTTCTGAGGGGGTAATGCAGGTGGTGACTTTAAACTGAAGCCAGTGCTCATTTACCATGCTACACCTACTTTGCTAGTACTCTAGAAATGGAACAAAGTCTAGATGACAGCATAGCTGTTTATAGTATGGTTTACTGAATACTTCAGTGGACAAAATAACTGGAATTGTGGTGGAAAGAGCAAGGAGAACTTGAATTAGAAGGAGAGCATTAAGTATGCAATCTCATGATTATATGAGATTGAGGTGTTGCTTCTTATGGATGAGTTAAAAAAAAAAAAGGTTTCTTGAGATGGAAGCCACTCTTGATAAAGATGTTGTAAATAATGTTGAAATGACAACACAGGATTCAAGACTATGACATAAATTTAGTTGATGAAGCAGTGAAGGGTTTGAAAGGATTGACTTCAAATTTGACAGAAATTCTACTGTAAGTAAATTGCTAACAAATAGCATTGCATGCTACAGAGAAACCTTTTGAAAATGGAAGAGTCAATCCATGAGGCAAACTTCACTGTTGTCTTAAGGAACTACCAGTCACCCCAAACTTCAGCATTCACCACCCTGATCAATCAGCAGCCATCATCTGGCAAGACTCTCTGCCAGCAAAACGATGAAGACTCATTGAAGGATCAGATAATCATTACCACTTTTTTTTTTAGCGATTAAATATTTTTAAATTAAGGTATGTACATTGTTTTTTCAGACATAATGTTATGTCACACTAAATAGACTATAGTACAATGTCAACATAACTTTTATATATATCAGGAAGCCAAAAAACTTTTGTGACTCACTTCATTAGTGGTCTGAACCCACATTGTATCTCTGAGGTATGCCTGTATCATAAGAACTTACTTTATATTTTTCAGTCTCTAATCAATTTTGTTTCCTGTTATGGACCATATTCTAAATTTTTCTCTGAGGTGAAAACCAAAATAAAATACAATACTTTAAAGGGAACATAGTTTATCTAAGGAAGATGATTCTTAAATACCTCATTCTATTTAAAGGGACTAAAGTTTGGGGAACTCGAGGTGCTGTCAGATTGGCTAATTAGATTAAATGACAAATGTAAAAAATTTATTTCTCATTATGAAAGTCTAACAGCTTTATAAAAGAAAAAAGTAGTTATGAATAAATTCAATGTCAGGTGAAGAATACTAAAACCAAACGAGTTTTTATTGGTCAAATATTAATAATTACAAAGAAGACAAGAAATATTCATTTTCAGTGTAAGTGGTATATGTATAAATGCTCTGAAGTGCTTTTGTCAGAATTAGGAATGTTAATAAAAGGGTGTAATCTATTTTTCAAGAATATTGGTGAATTACAGCAATAAAATACCTTTTAATTCATTCACTTTACAATTATTTGTGAGTATAGTACTATGTTCTGGGCACTGTGCTAAATATTATATATATGATGGGATAAGAGTATATTATTATCTCTATAAACACATGTATGATGCTATTACTCTTATGAAAAGTTAGGTGACAACTTTAGTTGAACTTTAGTCAGACAAAGCTCAGCTATGACCACATGTGTTCAATACACAAAACAGTTAAACATTACATGACTTAAAATAAGGCAATAAAATGATTTTGCTTAGATGGCTACTCAGAAGGCCCTTCATTAGATGGAAAATCCACCCTCAGATATCAAAATGGTATACAACATATAGAACAGCATGCTTTATACCATGAACATATGTGCATAGAACTATATACTTTTGTTTGAAATCTCCTCAAAACCAGGAATGCATGGTATTTGATATCTCAATTAGAGACTTTTAAAATATTTTCCATCTCTCTGCTAATGAATTATTATCAAGTACCCAACAAACCTAATTTTATACAGCATAAGGAAAAGAGCTTGGTACAACTTACAACTTTTGCAAAAATGTCAGAGAAACCTGCCCTTTTAAAACTTACATTTAATTTGTGAGAATATAACATTAAGTAAAATGGTCAACAATTTACAGCTGAAGAAATGGAGACAGTATAGACACTTACCAATTCTGGCACACTTCCAAAATATACCCAATAGTCTGCACAGAATAAAAAAAAATGGCTATTACTGGGAATGGTAAATCATTCTCTTAATATTACACAAAGAATTAATTATATAGTGGTTCATTCACCTTTAATGTTTTGCTTCCAATCTGAAATCTGCTTATTTGATGTCAAGCTCCCATTTATGTATGAAAGTAGGACACAAGAGTTTATCAACCATTGATTTATGGAAATTGCTATGAACTAGAATATATGTGGTGTCACAGGTCAAATCCAGGGTAAATTAACAGGGGAGTGGCAAAAATTTGCAGAAGGGCTTTCTGTATGAAGTACTTTACCTTCAAAAGCAGAAAACTTATATGCCAATTTAATTAAGACTTAATTTTGAGAAAATGATAAACATGTTTTAGATAAATTGCCATTAAAAAATATTCATACTAAAAATGTAGTTCTTATGAATGTAGCTCAAAAAACAGATATTCTAAAATTAAGATGTTCATTTCAGTTCTATGAATGGCTATAATGTGAATTACATCTTATATGAATTTACTATTTATTTGGCATATATAAAAAGCACTACTTTTGAGAAAAAAGTGAGTAATCAATGAATAGGGATATCTGAAAAAAATAAAAACAGACATTTTGTTGGTTCGACAAAAGAACAGAATTATAAATGGCATTACAAATTAAGATAAATTAACATATGGTTACATATTAAGTTACATAATGTTAAAGTTATATTTTATGTAAAGTTACATTACGTAACTTAAAAGTTATAAAAGTTATATTATAAAAGTTACTTAAAGTTACAGTATGTAACTTAATATGGTTACAAATTAAGATAAATTAACATTATTTGTTGCATAAATTAGGATTATTAGCTTAAGAAATCTCAATACTTAAATTTTAGGGAAATTTATAGTGTATTTTTTTTTTTTGCCTGAAGGAATGGCCGGCTAATGAGTCATTATATCTGGATAGGTAAGAATGAAAGAAAATATTGGTTCAATTAAGTTCTATTTTCCTCCTTCGAAGAATAATAACTTCCTGACTTCAAAGCAAAAGGTCTCTTTAGATTAAATGGAATAAGCAAAAATAAAAGTTTATTTCAAAGGATGGACTTTCTGACAGGTAAAAATTTTACTATAGGAATAAAAGACAAAAGCCATACACATTTCTGGAAGTAATATAGTATATAAAGGCCAGATTATCCTTAAATTCAATCCTGCTTACTGGTTGTATACTGTGAGCAAATTAATTTCTCTCTTTAGCAATAGCACCCACCCTCCCAGGTTTGTTATGAATATTAAATGAGTGATTACACAGAAAATCCTCAGAATTGTGATTAACAAGTTCTGTTCAGTAATTCACAGGCTAAACACACATGTGACAGTAACTCCAGATATCACTTAAAATTGTCTTACTTTTTTTTTCAAAAAATGGAAGACAATAGGTTAGGCATTTGCAAAGCCGTGGTTCCCCGATTCTAAAATTTATTGATTACAACATGAATTAATAATTTTTTTTTTTTTTTTTTTTTGAGACAGAGTCTCACTTTGTTGTCCAGGCTAGAGTGAGTGCCGTGGCGTCAGCCTAGCTCACAGCAACCTCAAACTTCTGGGCTCAAGCGATCCTTCTGCCTCAGCCTCCCGAGTAGCTTGGGACTACAGGCATGCGCCACCATGCCCGGCTAATTTTTTATATATATATATCAGTTGGCCAATTAATTTCTTTCTATTTATAGTAGAGACGGGGTCTCGCTCTTGCTCAGGCTGGTTTTGAACTCCTGACCTTGAGCAATCCGCCCGCCTCGGCCTCCCAAGAGCTAGGATTACAGGCGTGAGCCACCGCGCCTGGCCCATGAATTAATAATTTAAAGCTACTCTGGTTGCAGGAGCAAGCTGAGGGACCCAGAGCAGGATACCTAAAGCCCCTCCCCAGGAAGCTTACAGCTCCACAGAACACAGTCTGCAACCAGAAGACAGATCAAAAAGTCAAGGTCCATTCAGGTCCAATATTTTACAAGTAACTTAAAATATTGTTAAGAAAATCGGCACAACACAGCTAACATATTAAAAGCATATTAAATGAACAAAGAATTCTAACTTGGCAACTCAGAGACTTATCAGTACCACTTTGGCTTTTTTCCCCACATATTTCTCTACCTACATATTTCTGTAATATTCCAAATGATATTTGAAAAAATAGGAACTCTGTTAGTTGATAAGAAAAAATGCAATCATGCTGCTTAGTTACTATAGCTATATACCAGTAAGTGTACCTGCTGATAATGCTATTGAGTCTATAAAACTAGAAAAAAGTACACATGATTTTTTCTGTTTCTTAGTTCTACATTATTTAAAGCAGCAAAAAATGAAGTTATTTTAAACAGTGAAGTCATCAAGAACTTATTTTACCCAATCTATCTAGATATCTATACCAAAGCATAGTATATTCTTTCTATAATGAAAGAAAAATTTATCATGAGTCTCATAAAAAAATACATTGTAACAGAAAGGAACAGGGCCTGTAAAAAGTTTTCTATAGAAAATATCTTACATACAAATCAAAATATTAGGTTATTAAGTATGAAATGTCTGATTTTCTTAAGTACTAAGTTTGACAGTTGCTATCTCTGACATTTCACTTTGACACTTCTAGTTTTATTTTTATTGGGGAGGTACATCCTCATTCTTTGAAACAGAGTTTGGCTTGTGATTATCTTTAAAAAAATTTTTAGAGCAATTTTTGTGATATCATAGATAAGTCAGAAATTTGTGTTATTTTCAAATATGAGCTCTGTAGACAGCTCAAAATATCAACAAAGTGTTTGGGAAGGATGTGGCCAATGAATGCACAGACGTTGATGGTTTGAGAAGTTCCATTCTGGTGATTTTATTTGTTTTTTTTGAGACGGGGTCTCACTCTGTTGCTCTGGCTAGAGTGCCATGATGTCAGCCTAGCTCACAGCAACCTCAAACTCCTGGGCTTAAGCAATCCTTCTGCCTCAGCCTCCCAAGTAGCTGGGACTATAGGCATGTGCCACCATGCCTGGCTAATTTTTTCTAGGTATTTTTAGTTGGCCAATTAATTTCTATTTTTAGTAGAGACGAGGTCTTGCTCTTGCTCAGGCTGGTTCCTGACCTCGAGCGATCCTCCTCCCTTGGCCTCCCAGAGTGCTAGGAATTACAGGTGTGAGCCACCTTGCCCAGACCCATTCTGGTTTTTTTAATCCTGAAAATAAGCCACATGAGTGACCTGAGACCAAGATGGATAATGATAAGCTAAAAGCTATAGTGGAAGCAAATCCATCTCAACCTATGCATGAATTAGCAGCAAGGTCTGACGTTACTATTCCAACAATATTGGACTATTTAAAACAAATTGGCAAGGTAAAGAAGCTGGAGAAATTGTCTGTTAGCTTGCCTTTCTTCGCTGCCGCAACATAAAGGTAAACCATTTCTACACCGTATTGTTACGTGTGATGAAAATGGATTTTTTTGACAAACGCAAGCATGCAGCACAATGGCTAGATAAAGACGAAGTGCTTAAAAAGACGAAGTGCTTAAACACAATCCAAAATCAAGTATTTGTAAAAAACAGCTAATGGTGTGTGTTTTGGTCACCCAGCACTGGCATTATCCACCATAGCTTCATGAAACCTGGTCAATCGATTATAGCAAATGTCTACTGCAACCAACTGGATGAAGGAAATAATGAGGATGCTTGTAATTAAGCAACTGAGATCAGTCAATAGAGATAGGCCAATCATCTTGTAAGACAACACTTGATTACATGTTGTACAAACAATGGTGTTCAAACTACAGAAGCTGGATTTGGAAACTCTCTGTCATCCACCATATTCCCCAGACCTTGCACCGATAGACTACCACTTCTTCCAGGCTTTGGAACACTTCTTTCAAGAAAAAATATTTAATTCTTAACAAGCTGTGGAAAATACCTTTCGAGATTTTATTGGAACTCACTCTCCAGGCTTCTTCATGGCTGGCATAAACAAGCTACTGTTATGATGGCAAAACTGTGTTGATAGTTTAGGTACATACTTTGGTTAACTGTACTGGTTCTTGTTTGAGATATAATGTAATAAACTACTCTTTCATTCGAAATTGGACATTTCATATTTAATGACCTAATAAAATAGCACTTAACATTTAAATAAGTAGAAACAAAGATTTAAAGAAAAGCTTTAAATACAGTTGACAATATTAATATATATTTTAAAATGTGAAAATAGACATGCTTTTTAAAAATCTTTATGTAGGAGAAATATACTACCACTCAACCTCAACTGTAAGGTTGGCAGCCCTGAGAACTCCTTTTTTAATGTAGCATGTTATGAATGTATTCCTGCTCCCGAAGGAATAAGGAGCAGACATTTCCACATGCAACCTACTTTCTTTTGAAAGAGAATTTTCATAATAGAATCAGAAAAGTATAAATATTACATTCTACTATGTGATCATTCTTTAATGAAATAAACATTTAAGTATCATTTAGATAGACATTATTAGAAATCACGCAACTGATCAATGGAAATAAGTATTTACTGATTTCTACTATATGCTTTAACTGTAATTTAAGAGTCAGAAATGGCAGGAGAAGAGGAAATGAAAATGTCTGCTTGGATAGAAAGATTTCATGCACAACTAAGGAACAAATAAGATGATATGATATCGACAAATGAAGTATTGAATGAGTGCAATGAGAGTTTAGCAAAAAAGGTAGAATGAAGGGAAGACAATTGTCTACAAAGGAAATGAGGCACTGTTATAAAACTGATAGAAAAATAACATGTTTTCACATTCAGTACGTTAAATAAAATCCCTCATATGCTTTTTACAGTCTAACACATTTCAGATCACTTCTGAAATTTTTTGATTTAGTAAGATATTATGGATGTAAAGTTTTTAAATATTTAAAAACAAAGGGTAAAAATAACATTAAAAAGTTATTACAAAACAATTACACATAAGAATTAAATTACCTAATAACTTTTGTGGTAACTTTCATTCCATGTCAATAAAACACTAATTTGGATGATTAGACATAGTTAGTAACATACCCAGTTTTATTTCTGTCCAGGACGCTGGGTGCCAGGGATCGGATATAAGCACAGGTACATATAAGCAGCAAGATTACAGTCAACAGACTCTGAAAATTGAAAATAGCAGACTAAAAAGAAAAAAAAAAAGAAAGAACAATTAGTATCACAAGAAAACCTGCATAGGTAAAAATGCCTGACAATTTCATATTAAGAATCATGTTTTTATTTCCTCAAAAAGGCAAACAGAATGGCACCTCCAACAATACTTAAGACCAGAATCATGAGGACTTCTAAAGTCTTTAACCTCTGCCAACCTCTGGCTATACGACCTTAGCGGAGTCATTAACCTAAGTCTCTGCTTTAAATCTGTAAAGCTGATTGGGGAATAAGATAGACTACACGTTGACAAAAGTTTTAACTTTTAATTCCGAATAGGATTTTTCTAGGATAAATACACTTTAAAGTTAAGCTATCCTGTTCCATGGGTTGACAGATACTAGGCAATTATATTAGACTTTGGTGAAAGAAAGCATCTGCTCTTTCACTGTGATTCTTTAAAAGTTATTCTTTATAGGTTGAGCATCCCTAATCCAACATCTGAAATCTGAAATGTTCCAAAATTTGAATTTTTTTGAGTGGCGGGATTATACTCAAAAGTCATGCCAAAGGAAATGCTCATTGGACCATTTTGGTTTCACATCAGGGCTGCTTAACTGGTAAGTGTAATACAAATATTCCAAAATAAAAAAAAAAAAAAGCCCCCCAAACCTGAAACACTTCTGGTCCCAAGCATTTTGGATAAAGAATACTCTACATAATATGTATTTAATAGTGCAACTCTTATTCCAAAAGCTAAAATCTAACACAGAAATTCTAAGAAAACGTAAATTTCCACAAACAAAATGAATGGTTTCCAGTCAAAGGAAAATGGAAGTGAACTTACTCTATTCAAAATTCAGCTCAAGTGTACCCTTTTCCAGGAAGTCTCCTTGAATCCACTTGCTTCCCTTTTCCTATTTCATGAAGAACTCTCTATTTCTATAGCAAACTGATACCCTTATTATAATACTCATCCCTGAAGGGTGGACATTATGTTATCAGACTCTGACTTTCAGGACCTGACCATGTGCCTGCCTCACAGGAGTCTAGTAAGAAGATAGTTGAACAAAGTGCAGGAATATATAATACAGCATATTTCCATCACATACAGGTAGATAAAACATATCAATCTCATATAACAGCCAGCAATATGTTTATTTGGTAAACTTAGAAGCACTTTCTAAAACAATCAGGAATAAGACAAAACATAATAGTTATGAAAAACTTTAAAAAGGCAAAATGGGTACTTGAGGACGACTGGTTACCTGAAAAGCCCAAAAGAATCTAGGAAAAACGATTACAGACATTAAGGAAATTGAATAAGGTGGCTGGGCACATAATTAAAATATACACATCAACAGTCTTCATAATTTAATTAAATTAACATCTGGGTTAAAGACATAATGGAAAAAAGACTCCTTCTATGATAGCATCTAGAACAAAAAGCTAAAATATCTAGGAATAAACTTAAGAAACACGCAAAATTGGCATCAAAGAAAAAGACCTTAAAATATGGAAGAACATAAAGGTAGAACCACACGCTATGGTTTGGATATGGTTCGTTTATCCTCACCAAAACTCATACTGAAATTTGACCCCCAGTGTGGTGGTATTGGGAAGTGAGGCCTAGTGGAAGGAGTTTGGGTTATGGGGGCAGATCCCTAGGAATGGTACCATGCTGTTCTCCAGTTAGTGAGTTAACTTAGGAATAAATCAGTTCCCAAGAGCGGATTGTTAATAAAGTCAAGACGTCCCTCAGGTTTCCCTGACTTCACATGGGTCCACTCCCCTTTTGACCCTTTCCACCATGTTGTGATGGAGCACAAAAGCTCTGGCCAGGAGCCAAGACCATGCCCTTGAACTTCTCAGTCAGCAGAACACTGAAGTAAATAAACCTCTTTTCTTTATATATTATCCAGTCTTAGGTATTCTTTGATAGCAACATAAAACAGACTAAGACAACTTACATACCAGGCTTTTCTACTGGAAGACAATATTGTAAAGATAACCCATAAATTTAAGGTGAACACTATCTTAAGTTATTTTTGAAACAGACAACTGATTCTCAAGTCCGTACGGAAATAAATAAGCAAGAATAGCCAGGAGAATCTTAAAAGCACATCTGTAGATATGTACATCTTTTTGCAAAGAAAGTGAAGGAATACAGTGATAACTGCCAGATAATTTTGTTTCTAATTCTCAACTTTTCTGGATTCCTCAAATTTTCCAAGTGTCACTTTTATGGTCCAAAAAAGACAAACACAAATAATTTGTAATCACCATTTTAATATCTGTTTTCTATGCAAATAATTCACGCATATAGCAAAAGTAAAGTTTAATGTGCCTTGATTTTAAATTAAATTGGGTTTTAACATCATATCTGTGAAAGTGATATATATATTGGATAATAACCTCATGAAATATAAATTTCATTCCCTCCCAGCCAACATAACTAAACATGTATTTAATTTCTACTAAGGGGAATGAGGCTAGACACTGGGGATTTGAAAATGCATATGGTCCGGTTCCTTCCCTTCAGGAGTTTACGGCTTGCAATAACAATTATTGATATTCACTGAGTGCTTGTTTTTATTATTTACCCTCATATAACCTAGGTACATATTACCCTTATTTAATAGATGAGACTACTAAGGCACATAGCAGTTATAATCAAGTTATAACATAATGCATACTTTAAAAAGTAAATAGCAACTTACAGTAGCATATGCAAGTGATGGCTTGCACCATGAAGACAAAGACTGCTGTTTTTATAAGGAAAAGTCAGAAAAAGCTTCAAGGAGAAAGCAGAAGGAATCAAACCTTGAAAAGGCATAATTTAGATGAACAAAGAATAGAGAGCAGGCTCCAGATGAGACAAAAACCTGGGGAAAACCCTCCCACAGAACAATGAGTTTGCATCTTCAGGGAGTGACTTTTGTATTTGTATTAAGCAAAAGATTCCTGTAGTAAAGTGATTGGGGAAAAAAATTGCAAAGCAGGTTTATTATCTTCCTAATGGAGTATCCAAATTTATGATTTTGCAATCATTCCTTCCCCAAGATGCCTTTAAAAACAAACAAAAAAACCATGTTTAAATGATATGATATCCAGGACTGGTTTCTAAATAATCTAGTATGTGTGAGGTAGGAGAGGGTTAGGGCTCATAATAAAATGCTAAGATTATGGCATTATATCCTTTTTTCTACCTTTGTATGTTTGAATTTTTTTTATAATACAAAATAAAAAGGCACTCACAGACATGCCCATTATTAAAGAAATGGTGTGTGTGTGTAACCATTTACAAATGAAAACCATTTACAAGAATGAAATATATGATATACACAACTTTGTTCTGGGGGTTTATAGACTCTAAAATTTAAACAAATAATCTTAGGTGGTAAAGTCTTTTAGATGTACTTAGACTCTAGACAAAAGAGTGTTTTTAACTTATGGACATTAGCCTGCCACCTATAGCACTCCCCTTAATGCTTAGCATCTGTTGTTTGGTGATATAAAATTTTACTCTCAGGTTTAAAAGAAACAGATGTCCCTGTTCAGAAGAAAAATAATTAAAATTTTCAATAGAAAGATGTTATTAAAGGGAAGGAAGGAAGGTAAGAAAAAGGTAAGCATATTTAATCACAAAAGAGTAAAAGGTGATAAGTAAAATTTGCCACGTTTAAATTTTTTCATACTTTTAAATCTTTAAATTTTTTTCAAAGTACTCTGTGATATTTGCACATGCCCTCTGTTCTTGGCTTGCTTGGTGAACTGAACCACTCATCCTTCCAGTCTCAACTCAAGATTCACCATGAAGTCTTCCCTGTTCCTACTTTCTACACCAAGCAGTCAGGATCTTTGTATGTGTATGTGTTACATATATACCTTCCCATGATAGCACCCATCACATTGTCCTGTAATTTTGTCCTCTATTTTACTGAGGTTCTCATTAGTCCTCTGTGACTATTAAATGAAAGAGTACACAGTAGTCACTGAAAATATGCTTAATGAATGTAAAACTGACAGTAATAAACACTGTGACAAATGCAAGTGCATATTTGGATACCAAATTAATAATGCACATTATTATGCACAGTATTAAAACATAGCTCAAGTCTTACCAAGAATGACTTAGTAAGATTACAGAGCTACTCATACATATAAGAGTAGGAGAGAAGATGCAGTTAGCTTTATAAAAATGAGTTATCTTCTATCTTATAACTGCTTAGGTCCAATCTACAGTTGGCCCTCCTTATACATGGGTTCTGCATGTGTGCATTCAACCAACCATGGACTGTATATACTTGGAAAAAAACTGTATTTTTACGGAACATGTACAGACTTATTTTTTTGTCAATTTTCCCTAAATAATACAGTATGACAACTATTCACATAGCATTTACATTATATTAGGTATTATAAGTAATTTAGAGATGATTTAAAGTATAGGAGAGGATGTATATAGGTTATATGCAAATATTGTGCCATTTTATATCAGGGACTTGAGCCCCCATAGATTTTAGTATCCAAGAGAGGTCCTGAAACCAATCCCTCAGGGATACTGAGATGACTTTATACTATTTAATATACAGTTGTAGTATACTGTTAATACAATAATGTAGTGAATAGTTAGCTAAACCTATTAAACTGGAGAGCATGCTGTTTTTATAACTCCCTGGCATTGTCACAGAAAGTGCTGACTCGCTGAAACTCCCCATCAATTAACTCAAAACTAGCGTGAACAAAGCAGTGCATATTTAGAGGCAGACCTTGGTCATAAAACCTGGCATATTTTCATGTAGCACTTAATTTTATATGATTTAAATAAATTCTTCCTCTCATACTAGCACTCTATTTTAGGATTTCTTATTTAATAAATGAATAGAAATATGCATAATATCAGATTTACAGTATTCCCATAGCTAGTCCTTACAGCTCCAAATAATGAAGGCAGGTGCTGCATGGCCATCTTTGTATCTCTCTGTAAATTTATACTAATCTTGCTTTGGGTCTCCCTACAGAAATAATT